TTTTGGTTCTCCAATAGGAGTTCTAAACTGAAAATTAATTGTTTTTGTTGGCTTCAAAACCCAATTATTGCTATTTACTTCTTGTAACTTTTGTTTTTCAAACATCTTGCTAGTTGTTATATATGAAATATATGTAGTCCTAAAAAAATAGTTGGGATTACTACAAGGAGGTAAATGATGATGTGATGCCATTGATGGATGATAAAAGCATAAATAATGATGATGCAATATTGAGGAAATAAGGTAGGTTGATATGTTGTTTTTGTGGATAACACATAAAGGTGATGATTGTGTGATTGTGAGGGGCAAGAATGGTTGTAATTGCGTGATCATAGAGTTGTTTGTAGTTGGCCAACGTGAATGAGGAAGGAAAATAAATGAGAAATTTGAGAAAAATATCATTTTAGTCCTTTATAGAAGTAATGAAGTATGGGAAGAAACTCCAAACTCTTCAAAACTCACATTGATTAAAAATCCATTTTACATATATCAGTAGAGACAACAATGAAACATCATGTCATCTCTCCCCCACCTAAACTACATTAACATTGAAATTCCCTCATCTGCGTATCATTGACTCATTGTCTCCATTGACACCACGGATGGTGGTAGTAGTGACAACATTATTAGAATTAGTACTCAACATAAGAGTCAACAATTTAAGTGTTTGAGTATTTATGATTATTTAAATTATTAAAAGATGCGACAAACATTATTATATTGCTGTAGAATTTAAACTAAAGTTAATTATAAAATTTTATTTTTCACCAATCATATTAATAACTTTAGAATATTGTTTATATAGATACCATGTTATAACCCAAGAAAATCACGGTAGATATAATTAATATTTTTATATAAACAAAAATAATAATAACTGTAAAAAAATCAATTGGATTCTCAATTGTAGGTAATCATGAATTAAAAACATGACATACTCAATTGCATTTTTGAATTGATAGATAACAAAGATATCAGAAATAAATTAGGATAGAATTTATTTTTTTTCAAAATTTGAAAAGCAATTGATTTGTTACAAAAAATATGGATTCATGTAGATGTGCGGGACGATTATAGATATAGCTTAGAAACGTGTCATGTGGCAAACCAACATGATAGAATAAGGACAATTGGTATAATTAGATTTTATTCGGTAGAAGAGATAGATTTAAAAGTCTCGATATATAATTCCAACAACTATTTCTATGAATGATTGAAATCAGTTTCGTAAAGAAGTCTTTATTTAACTTAGAGTTAAGATAGGGTACGATAGTAATTTTGTATTATGCTTGATGATCAATTTTGTTGCTGTTGATCCTAGTTATTATCAAGAAGCGATTATCATTTTATGATTTATCTGCCGCTTACATACTCACAATCAAAGGTACTAATCCGAACACCAAAAACTAAATATTAAAAAATTAAAATAATAATTAAAACGTCAAAGCAATAAAAACACATCTTTAATTATAAATTGTCAAACATGCAATATCATCAATGTGATTGTTATAAGTCAAAGCAATACAAGCACATTCATATATTATTTTTTACCTAAGCGTCGTTGACGTAACAGTACAAAAATGTTCCTTGTAAATGTGTATCATTCTTATTACTGGAACAAATCATTACATGGAGAATATATACACAATACACATGATTAAGGACCGTCTACATAAAATACAAGCGAATGTGGCTATACATGAGTCCGATAACATACACCCACAGTTTGATCGGGAAGGTAACAAATGTTCAATTTGGTTCTAAAATCATAAAACAAAGTGTAAGACCTTGATGAAAATATATATGTACTACGAAGAAGAAGGAACATGAAGAACGCAGTTAAAACTGATTACCACCTGATCCTAGATAAACTGTATTTTGATAACTATGTGTTTAGTGCATTGGTGTTGCATCGGGTTAGGCGACATATATACAACACTAATGTTGTCATGGTAAACAATGGTTGCCTTAGAAGGCAGACAGTGAAGCTCACAGAGAAGATTGTGAATCCAACACAATTCGGCAACCATATTTGCCACACACTATATCTACAAAATGCAAATAACTATGGGTCGGTTACATACACATGTCACAATACATAAAAAATGTGGACTATATATGAGCCCGCTAAGATTATTCCCCTAAGGAGTTGAGAGTTCAATTCTCGTAGTGGACATAAGTGTAGTTTAAGAGTATGATTTAGATGCGTGTGTATGTGTATTTTAGCTGTTATAACCTAAGTTGGTATAAGGAAGTTATGGAGATCCGAAGTTGAGATAGAACGTACATTTCTAATCTGAGAAATTAACAGGAAGTCAAAGGGGCGCAAAGCGTCTCTTTAAAGACGCAGGGAATCCAAGGCGAATCAACAAAACATGTATCGATCAGAGAAGGACATGCGGCATCTTCGGAAACAATACGTGGCTTAGGGCGCGACACATCCCTAAAATTCTCAGCCTATAAATAGCTTTCAAGCGTTATTCACTATATGTTTTTCTGATGAGTGCTCCGAGCACTTAAGCAACATCTTGTAGCCTTTGGAGGTACGTTTTAACGTAAGTATACAAGAGTTAAGATAAAAGTTGGTGGGCAACGATTACAGCTTAGAGACAAAGGTCGTGAGGTCGTTTAGCAAGGGTACGAATGTCGTTAAGCTAAGGTATCCTCTTGATTTGTTAATACGTAACTATAGTTACGTAAGTCAGGTCGTAAAGGGTTGAAACCCGATATAATATTTGAAATTCGTAACACGATATTGTTATGAATTGAGATTGATAGAGGGTATCCATGGTGGAACTCTCGCTTTGGATAATGAGGGTTTTAAACCCAAGTTTACAGGATTGTCCGGTTTGCAATATTGGACTATCGGCTTACGACATTAAGCCGTTTAGTAACAGTCTTAAGGAGCTTAGTGTGTTGGTAACAAATGGTTATCCAATTGTGTTAGCGATATAACAAAGTTCACTATAATAGCTATAATGAATAAGCTCCTAAATGAATTGAGGCAAGTTCTGAGGAACTTAGTGTTTGTCTAAATAGGTTTGGACAAGTGATTGAGCTAAGAGATAGCACGAGGCTAGAGGTCAGAATGGAAATTAGTCTTCACTAACGAGCCATGTGAGTACATGTGAAATTTCTCTAAGTACATGGCATATTAGTAAAGTTTTTAGTGAGAAGCTTGAAAGTGATTTGAAAATCTTTTTGTTGAAAATGTAATAAATCCTAGCTAGCAAGTAAATGAACTCTTTTTCTAACGGGTAAGCTAAAGGTTTTGAAAGACAAATGTTATCGAACAAATGAACTCTTTCATTAGTAATGGTTATCTAGCTACGATTTGTTACATGAATTATTGAAAGAGTATTAAAGAATTGTATTTTACAATCACAATATGTTTGAATATATTACTATGCAATGTTATTATTGAAAGTGCTTGAGCATAACATCAATCATTTGTGTGTGATTGAGTCAGTAAAAGAACAATGGTGGTCACACATCATATGAACGAACTGCATATTAATGAGAAAGTGTTGGCTAGACCTAAGGGTCTGCATGGGGACCAATTGTAGGGCATTGATAAGATGATTGTTCTCCAGTAAATGTCAGCACTCTTTGTCACTTTATTTGACCAACCCAATTAGGGGTGTATATCATTGTCACTTTATTTGACCGGCCTAATCTGGGGCGGCCCTTATGTACATTAGATTCAACAAGTAGCCGAGGCTCGGGAAGGCCCAAAAAGATTTGCATTAAGTGAGGACTTGCATAACATGGTATGCATTGTGTTTATAAATACATGCCAAATTATAATTTTATCAAATGATTTTGCTAATAATTATGTGTCTAAACAAATATAGCTCACAAGACAATGATTGTCTTACGTACTTTGTTTAAATGTCATGTATTCCAGGTACTTATATGAATCATATAAAGCTATGCTAAGACTGATAGCGGAGAGTCGATAGATAAAATCTGGATATAACTTTTATAACGTAAGCAACCTCCTAGTTTACGAGACTTTGGGATGGTGTAACCAGACTCACTCAATACCACCATTACGAGACTTTGGGATGATGTTTATGCGTGAAGTACCCCCTCCACATCAGCCTTACACAACCAATGTAAGATTCATTCATGATTACCTTACCCATGTCAAACCATAGTAAGTCAAATAACTAAATTCAAATGCCATAAATAACTAACCCCAATTATCTTATTCTAAAACCATTGTTACTATCATCCTTCGAATTCTTAGAACGAAAATTTTATTCTCAAATATTTTGAAGAAAAAAGAAAAGAAAAGGGTACTCTAATTACTTTTCAAGGAATGAAAACATGGGAAACGAAAGAAAGTGGTCGAAAATGTTTTTATGTTCATCCAGAATTTCCATATGATTTTAGTGATAAAGGAAGAAAAAGTTTTATAAAATTGATAGAATTTTTCTTATAGTTATCAAATCGTTCTTAAGGACGAAGTTATAGGATTATTAGTTTTTCTTCAATTTTATCAAAACTTAAGAATATAATCAACTATTGGGTAATATCCGATATATACTGAAACAAAAAAGTCTTCAATTTATCTAATAATTTAATTAGATAATTTTAAAATTTTATTGTATTGCTGATACCCATTATTTAATTCCTTTCCACCATATAATGCAATAAAAAAATTACATATCATCCATTTTATTATTTAAATTGCATGATTTAGTTCGTTTTAGAATTTCATGATTTTTATCGATATAACTTTTTTATTTTTTGATAATGACTAAAAAGTATATATCTTTGTTACAACTTTATCTAAAAGCTTTATTAAGTTTTATCATGATTATTATGTTTATTTATTTATTTATTTTTTACAAATAAGTAAACATTAGTTAAACGAAATGATGTCGATCCATTTTATGACTTGATCTACATAAAAAAAAAAAATACTAATTTTCGCTTTTTCCATAAATAAAAATAATAAAAAGCTCTAGAATGGTATTCTGTTTTTAGTTTTAAATAGATTTATAAGCTAATAATTGAGATTGAGATTGAGATTGGGAGTCTCTTTCTTCAGTTCTTCTGATCGCGGTGGGGACTTCTCTTCTCGTATTTGGGTTATATCTAACCAGCTCCACCACCTACATCCGGCACCACCATCGATCTTCACGTCTACTGTCACTCTTCCACATTTCTATGAAATACAAACAATCAACATCAAATCCAGCAAGATCAGCCTTCACATCTTAAATGGATTCACAGCTCAAAGACTTATCTTCAAAACCCCAATCTCCCACTTCTCAACCCAATCTCGAAGACGCTTCCGATAATGACGATCTCCCCCTCCTCAGCCCCACCACCGCCACCACCACCACCACCGATGACGACAAATCTGACTCCTCCACACCCCGCCCCAGCATCGAAGAGCTCGAGAAGAAATACGCCGCGTATGTCCGACACGATGTGTATGGCACCATGGGGTGTGGAGAGCTACCCTGGCCGGAAAAGGTTTTGTTAGGAATTGCGCTCGTCACGCTCCTCCCTCTGCGGGTGGTGTTGGCGACGACGGTGGTTGTGCTGTATTACTTGATCTGTAGGGTTTGTACTCTGTTTATGGCACCAAATCGGGAAGACGAACAGGAGGATTACGCTCACATGGGTGGGTGGAGGAGAACTGTTCTCTATTGGTCTGGAAGGGTTCTTTCTAGGATTATGCTTTTCGCATTCGGATTTTATTGGATTCAGGAGACTTGCAGGAATCCAAAAATCAATGGAAGTATCAACAATGAGGTAGCTTAATTTCTGGTGTATATATATATATATATATATATATATATATATATATATATATATATATATATATATATAGCATGCAGTAAAACATGTGCTTCCAGTTTACTATCTTTGTTAATCGCTTCTTAAGGTAATTTAGGGATATGCAAATTGTGTCATAGAAGTCCCTGTCAAAAGTGGCTCCTCGAGTTCATGATTTCTATCTTTCATTCCTGAATTAGGAATATCATTAGCAAGGGCACTTTATATGTCAAGATTCTTAATTGTGTGACAGTATATAACAATTATAGTTTAAACATGATATGAATATGATTATTACTTTTATAAACACAGTTGTTTTTGTACTTCAAATTGGCATTTGGTTACCTTGATTCCTTTCAATGGTCAGGTGGATTTGAATGAGCAATCTGAGGAAGAAGATGAACGACCTGGAGTAATCATATCAAACCATGTTTCACATTTGGATATTTTGTACCATATGTCTTCCTCATTTCCAAGTTTTGTTGCCAAGGTTTGTCTACTTTTTGATTTTTTAGATCCAAAAAGTTATTTCCATTTAAGTTTGTGGTAATATAAACTGAATTGTTTGGTTTGTTTCTTATCATTGCTGAAGAGATCAGTGGGCAAGCTTCCTCTGGTTGGCCTTATAAGGTTGGTTTGAATCACATCCATATTTTCATTTGTTATCTGTTAAAAAAAAAACATCCCTTCAATTCTGATTTTTTGTTTGCAATTCTCCTTATTAAAAAAAAAATGATAAGCAAGGAAAGAGTTGGGTATCTAATTTCTATTAAGAACATTTATCCATAATTTTTTTTTTGGGAATGAAGATAAAATTCAGCAAAATCTACGTTCATAGATCAGAAAGACACTTTTGAAGTCTTTTTTTCTATCTTCTTGTATTATTCTTTTATAGTTTATACATTTGTTATCCATTGCTTTATAATTACAATTTTTTGTTTTTTCAGCAAGTGTCTTGGTTGTGTATATGTCCAGCGGGAGTCAAAATCATCAAATACAAAGGGCGTTTCAGGTATATTTAAATGTTTGATGTTTCTTTAACAACCGTGCTTTATATTTCTTGGGATTGTATCAATGATCAAAATATATTTCATGATGCTCTATATATTGTAACACATCCATATATATAACAAAACCATCTTTATAATGTGTTCTCTTTTTCTACATTTTTTCTTAAATGTAATTTCTGTTTCAATTTTTTAACTTTTTTACTTGCAGCTGTGGTGAACGAGAGAATTCAGGAAGCCCACGAAAATAAGTCTGCACCCATGATGATGCTTTTTCCAGGTTATTATTTTATATACAAATTTCTATCAAGTAAAATCCTTCTTCTTTAAATGCTAAAAATACTTGTATGGAGGTGTATAATTTCTTCCGTATTTCTGAAGTGTAGGATTTTTTTTATTGACATGTTAGCTGCAAAATTATTAAATTTTGATCCCACCCACCTGTATCTAATTTAGTTTAATTATCTTTTGTTTTTGTTTATGCAGAAGGAACAACTACAAATGGGGATTATATACTTCCATTTAAAACCGGTGCATTTTTGGCAAAAGCACCTGTTCTTCCTGTTATTTTGAAATATCCTTATGAAAGATTTAGCCCTGCCTGGGATTCCATATCTGGGGTGAGTGTTTAAAATTTAAATGCTGATCTGTCTTCTAAAAGGGTGTTTTGGTCCGCAGAATGTTTTGGTTTTGGTAGGAATTGGAATTCAAAAGTCCTTGGGTGTGTGTTTGGTTTGTGAATTTCAATGGGATTGAATTCTCGATTCCATTCCATGGCTTGGTTGTTTGCCAAACGGACAGAATTCAATTCCATCGGAATCCTTCCAATATAACTTTTACTATTAAATTACCAAAATACCCTTGTAAGCAGGAAGAGGGAAAGCATGTAAATAGGCTAAAGATGTTTACTTGTGCAATTCTAGGGTTAAAAGGGTATATTTGATTATTTTTAACAATGAGTAAATGCATGGAATGTTGAAATCTATTGATGAAGGGAGTTTATGAATCCCAAACACGGGATTGGAATGGAATTGAATTCCAGTTTGTTGTCGATTTTTTAGGTGCGGCATGTGATTTTGCTGTTATGTCAATTTGTAAATAAGATGTCGGTAACACGGTTGCCAGTTTATTACCCCTCACAAGAAGAGAAGGACAATCCTAAATTATATGCCGAAAATGTTCGCAGATTGATGGCTCGTGAGGTATATATAATATACACATATGCTTTCATTTTCATTTTATAATTTATAATAATTACTATATTCATTATGTTGGTTGTGCAGGGTAACTTAATAATGTCAGATATTGGTTTGGCAGAGAAACGAATATATCATGCGGCTCTCAATGGTAGGCTAACTGTTTTGCATGAGAAAGACGATTGATTGATTCAATACACAGCCTTCCAAAAATCCACCATAACTTAGTTCCTTTTGTTTTAAGTTGTACAGTTTGAAAAAACACAACAATCACTAAATATTACATGTTACCCGCGTGTAATGTATCTTAAGAAAATCAAAAACTATCAATAAAGTGTGTTTGACCATTTAACTATATTACTTATTATACAACAGAAGCTAAATCTCATCCAATCACGGTGTTAATGGAAAGCTAGATATACACAGTCTTACCTCAATTAATCTGAACCATCTCTTTTGTGTTCATGCAGGTTTGTTTTTTCAACGGTAGATTCAGACTCATACATACATTTTTATTATTTAAAACAAAATTAGTGAAACTTTCGGACTAATTTTTTGGAATACGTATCTCTTAAGTAAAACATTAGTTGTATTGTAGTATTATGTTATATGTAGAGATTCATATTTATTGTCCTGTGTGTTTGATATGTACAGTATTAGATTAGATTGGGACCCTCACTGACAGATGTGACAATGTCATCATATAAGCACATTGGTTCTCTACTAGGGCAATCAATAAACACATTGGTTCTCCTAAAACTTATATAGGTAGTTTGATTACAAATACACAACTAATTAACGATCAAACCGCCTTTTGTTTAGAAGAAAAAAACCAAATCTAATTTGTCATTGTGCACACGAGTTATTGCTAGAACGTCTCAATTCCCAAGGTGGCAAGCACCCTTTCAAAGGCGACTGCAAAAGCAAAGAAGATGTTGACAAGTGTCTCTGCCTTGATGAAACCGATGCCAGGCAACTAAAACTACTGCTTCTTAGCCTTCGCATCTCACCCTCACCCTCACCCTCACCCTCACCCTGGTATGGTAAGCATCGTGGATCGTGTTGCACTGTAGACACTTTTAGGGCTTCTGGTAGTACACAGCTAAAAGCTGAACCTGTACACATATCACTTAATTTGGTAAGCTATATAACAACTAATACCCAATGTGTAAACATGTATCTTCAAATAAAATGTTGTGTACATAGACGACTGTTCAATGAACTATTTGAATATGAGTAAAGACGAACGAAAAGTATAATAATTTATGTTTAAAATGCCAGGTACATCATCAATTGAGCAAAAAATTAAAGTATAATACGAACGAAAAGACATTACAGTTATATTATTTAGTAAAATTTGAAAATAGACTCCTTCAAGAAATTGAAATTTTCGCATTAAATGAAGAAATTGAAATTTTTTATATTTTGAGAAGCATAATTGTATTAAATTTTAATATAACTTTTTGGTATGTTAAAAAAATACATTTTTATTAAATGGTTTCTAGACGGTTTGTGTAATTGTTGTAAATTTCAAGTATTGATTATCTATATATTATCTTTGTGGCTGAATGGATCCAGCCAATTTTTTTGACTTGCCATATTCAGACATTCTGAATGTATTAAGTCACGGATCAAGTCTAATATCCATTAAGTCAAAAAGAAACAACCCTTAATGGACTTAATGGTGACACGACTTAATCCAATGATAAAACAAGATGATCTCAAGTAAAGATTTAAGAAAATAATACCCAATTTAGCGAGTCGATTGACCCATTTAGGGATTTGCTTTCCAGTCAACTTGTAGCAAATATCATTGCAAAAATGGTTGCAGTTTTTGACAATTAGATGATACGTGTCACCATTGTAGTTTGCAGCATGATGCTCCATGAACTCTCGAACCTCACTAGGGTTCAAACATGTAGTCCCGATTAATATCGACCTCCTAAATTTAAACCCCGGGCATTGTCTTGGCTCAACCTCAAACACACCACTAGTCGGATAATCATGAGCTCCAAATGCATATTCCACACCATGAACTACATCATAACAGACTTAATCAGTACACATGACTTGATACAGAAAGAACGACTTAATACAGAAAAGCATACCTTCTACACCAGAGTGGAAGATGCCAAAACCAGCCCAATAAGCATAGCCATTCATGGGTGTGAGGTCATAGACATTGAGATAAACAGGTGTGTTTCCGGGCCCATATTCGGCTTTTATTTTTGGGAAAAAACAAAAACGGGTGGCGGATTTTCCTTTTAAACGAAGTGGCACGATGGATTTCAGTCCTTTCTTTGTTACAAATTTCATGGTGCAGCTTCTAAATAACATCCTACATGGAAAAAATATATATATATATATATAATTAGTCGTTTGCATTTAATTTAGAAAGTATAAGAAATAAAAAGGGAATTTATTTTCTAGGTTCCACCAAACACCTTGGATCGGTTGACAGTCTAACTAAAAACAATATCTTTCAAGCCAGCTATACTTAATTTATTGTTCCATTTAGTAGCTGGAAACATAGTTTATTCATAATAATATCTTTGAGTTGACTTTGACTTTTTTTGTGGCAAATGCATACACACACAAAGAGAGTGGGAGGCCATGAATAGAATCGAAACTTATAATTATGTTCTTACATATTATAAAGTTATATGTACTTGTTACATGTCAATTAATAAGAAAAGTTTTGTTGTTGTCTATGAACATTTTAAGTTTTTAACCTTATATTCAAAGATGGATAGTTGGTGAGTGTTATAAAACTACCCATGTGCATCAAGAGCATAAATTAACACTGTGGATATCTGAATTTCCTTATGTTAACCGAAGGACTGAGTTTCTAAAGAAGATAAAAAATAAATGGATTCTGTTTTGATAGTTACATGAGCCAAAAAAAATGAATCAGTGCAGATGTACTATTGTACCAAGTGAAAGCAATTTGAAAAGGCTCTGTCAAATGGAAGGGTACCACAATGATAATAACTAAATGCTGTTCAGAAAGATTGTTTATTTCTATCTTCCCCATCACAAATGCACAAGGATCGAAGTCTTTATTTTTACCTTTTTTTTTCTTTGAGATTACAACTACTAACAATTTCATACACAGAATTCTCATTTGAGACTTTCGCCTAAAAAATTCAGAGAACCAGAAAAAGCACAGAGAGAACGTATGAATGAGTATCAACAACTACTTCTACCACTCACAAGTAAAATCCCTACGAAAATTGCCCCAAAAAACACTCAAAGAAATAAAGAAGAAAAAAGAACACACGAGGTGCTTGTGAAGGTCAAAAAGGGAAACGGAATACGCATGTCAAGTTTTACACAACACACAAATTTTCGCCAGCATATATAGTAACGGATAATCATAAAATTGAAAGTGAATAGCATCTAATAGCATACATTATCTCTAAAAACCGTTTCGATTTGACAAAGTGTACTCCCAAATTCTGATTTTTAGGCTTAAAATGTCGACAATTGGAATAAAATCATCACAGAGGACGTAAAACTTGCTGCATTTGGATTAATTCGGTTTAGATATACGAAAAATTATCAAATTATATCAGATCTTGTGACGAACTCACAGATATAACATAAATCAAGCATACGCTAAAATCTACAGATCAGGGCCTCGGAGGGATGAAACTAACAACAGAAGTCGAAACATCGAAAATGAAATCATCGCGTAACAGATAAACCTTATCTAAAACAAGCAGTAACATGAATTAGGTAATTAAGAAGGCAAAAATCTGTAATTGGGAGAAGAATCTCAAAAACATGACGGAAGAAAACTAAAACTTACAGAGTAGAAGAACAAACGCCATTGGGAAATGCAAAGAACAACAGGATTGATCAGCACAAGGAGCCAATTTTCTGTCAAGATTTGTGAGGTGAAAGAATCGAGAATTGGATGAAAATTCAGAAAACCGAAGCCTTTGAGCCAATTTACACACACAAGTGTGTGTAAGAGAGAGCAAAAGGGAGACTGGCAGTAAGGACACCCTAACCCCCTCCCTCTCACTCTCTCATCAACCAATATATAACCATAAATACAACAACACTTTATTTGATTTCATTTTGTTAACATGCACTGCAGTACATTGGTATAATTAGTAATTAAATATTTAAAGTAAATTCTAAGAAAAACAAAACAAAAGGGCGAAAAAACAAAAGGGCATATTTTAATTTGATTAATGTTTGGAAAAATGGTTAAAACTTAAAAACTTAAAAGTGCTTTTTAATAACAACAAAAACATCATTAATATTTTGGTATTAATATACCAAAAAAATTGTATTTGAATTAAAGATTATGGAAAAAAATCAAATAATTATATTGTTTTTCATAAAATAAGGACAATTTTCTATTATAATATCTTTTACTTTTTTAAGATAAATTTCAATAATTTGTTGAACAAAATTTCCATCGTGATCATTCTTACATGTTATTGTCGGTTTAGCATGTAAAACTGATGAGATGATTCTTTTAATGATATGAATTAGACTCTGTTATTTGAAAAAATTATACCAAATCCAATATAATAGGTTTATTCAAAATTGGTAAGGAGTAGAGTTTTGGAAGTTGGTCTCATCCCATTGAACGATCAACTCTTTAAAATTGTACTAGTTGTTTTTGAATCAAGTATCTACAATCGAACCAAGGTTTTGAAGCAAATCTAAACATCTAAGCCAAATAAGTTATCCACCTAGGTTTTCTATTTTTTGTTTTCTCGACATCATAATCAAGTGTTTTTTTTATTCTGAATCGTAAGGTCCAATATAATGGTTTCAGACTTGAACGTACTCTAGGTTTTTCCATTATGTTTTACAGTTTTCTTACATAACAACAGGTTTGTTATGTTTTTTTTTTTCAATAAAGTAATGTGTGTAATTATATTGATAATGGCAATAGTGAGGATGAAAGTCAATTGTCATTAGATGTTACACTTTGTAGGGGTATGGACTACACTCAAAAAGATGATTTTATCAATATATGTAAGAAGTTGGCTACTTCATGTATTCATATTATTGATGTATTCATATTATTAGGCATGAGGAAAAACCAGTTGGCCCATAATTATAAAAGATGGAGAGATAAACATGCTTGATGCTGATGAAGAAGGAATTGGAATTGGGTTTATTATCCTTAATCCAATTACTTGATGGAATCTCATGAAGCCAATTGAAAGAGAAACATGTGAGAGCCCTAAATAACTAAAGTGTGTTTTGAAAAAAAAATATATGTTGTGACAAATGAGTATCATCTCAAATTTTCAAGATCTGCCATTCAAAGGCTACAAGTTAAGTATGAAGAATAAGAAGAGGAAAATAATTGTGTATTTTGTCCACATGTCTTATAGATAAAAGTCAAAAATATTCCAAATAAAGAAGATTATTGGGGCAACATATGTATTAGAAGTTATAACTTAGGGTCAGTTGTGAACTCATATTGGATTGCAAAACAATACATGAAGGAATTGATTGTAAGGTGTTTGGTTTTTATTCAAAAATAGTCTAATTATAGTGTCAAATTCGACATAATTAGCAACAGAAGCATTTTATAATTTGAATAAGCTAAAATCATGTTAACCCACCAAGGATCATTTTTAAAAGCTTAGAAAGATTCAAACATAACCAAAGGAAAGAAGAAGTTTACAACCTTTGATGGTTTTGGTT